ATCTTTTTAAGTGGGAGAACTTGCACAATTGGTGGCTGACTAAATACTTTTTTGCCCCACTGTATCTTTGCAATGAAAGAAATCAGAGAGGTATACAAATAAGTAATAATGGAGGAATTTAATTTCCATTACATAGACTAAGTACAGGCCAGGTCAAAAAAACCCACTCCTGGATCTCCTAAATTCTTGTGTCTCAATACAGCTGTCTTGGAGCCAGCCAAAGGAGAGGCAACCCTAGATTTAATGCTCAATGGTAATCATGATCTGGAGCAAGACTTAAGTGTTGTAGGAAACAGTTCCAGTAATGTTACTTCTGTTAGTGCATACATAAATAGGAAACCACCATAGGATCCAAAATGGTTACATATGATTACAAAAAGGGAAAATTCAGAAAAATGAGGAAACTAGTGAAAAAGAAACCAAAAGTCAACACAGCCAAATCTCTTCAGAGTGCCAGGAGGTTATTTAAGAATCACAATGATTGATGCTTGGCTAGAACATATTCTATAATGTAAGAAAGGGTCAACAGTATGGAAAGAGCCCAGCACAGCTTTCTTATAGTGTACATGAAGGTCGACAAGTTAAGAAGGTTTCTTTCAAACAATGAAAAAAGCCTGACCAAATGAGAATAAAAAGAAGAACATAAATTGGCAGAAGTGTAAAGTGATAAGAAATGGAGAAACAAAACAAAACAAAGAATTTGAGGAACTTATGGCAAGAATAAAAAACCACTGAAGGAAACAATAAGATTTTTTTAAAATATATTTGAAGCAGAAAATAGGCAGGGAAGCAGATGACCAAAGAGTTCAAGGATGAAAGGGAGACTGCAGAAAAACTGAGTGAATTCTTCTCATCTGTCCTATATTACAGAGGATATAGGACAGATACCTGAGCCTGTATTGACTTTTGGTGGGAATGAATCAGAATAAAACCGAGATAACAAGACAAAATATCTTAAGGGACCCTCAAAGATCACACAGTAACAAATCACTGGGTCCTAATGGCATCTACCTCAGAGTCTTCAAAGAAATTGAAAACTAGGTGGCCTTCCCCCATAAATATGTAACTTGTTCCTCCAATTAGGCTCACTGGCAGAGAACTGGAAGGTTATCAACGTAACACCAATTTTTAAGAAAGGATCCAGGGGCATCTGAGAAATTGTAGGCTAATCAGCTTGGCTTCTATTCCAGAGAAATTGGTGAAAAGATCACTTTAAAAAACAGTTAAACATACAGAAGAGTAAACCTTGCTTAAGGAAAATCAGCATGGATTCTAAAAATATATTGAGATAATAGTGGACAATTCAATAAAGATGTAGACTCACTACATAGCAGCTATAAAAAAGGCAAAATCAATGCTAAGGATCTTTAGGAAAGGGACTGAAAATAAAAATGTCTAAATAAAATCTATGGTACATCCATACCATATTGTATGGTATAGTTGTTTGATCCAGACCAGGTCAGGAAAGAGATCCCATTAAAAATGACCAGAACTCTTGTTTACTACAGTAATAGAATCTTGAAAGCCTGACAGCATTTTCCCTCCCATCCTCTTATACCAACGAGAGTTAAGGTGGAGACAGTTTACATTTCTTTCTAATGTTCCTGTCCTGTCCTGTCCTGTCCTGTCCTGGGCTTAAATTGTGTTTTTCTAATTGCCGTCACACAGTTTCTTCAAGGTCATCTCTGTGGTTCTCTATAACATCTGGCATACTGCGTACAGGTCTGCTCACCATGTCTGATCAAGGATCTAATCAAGCTGGCAAAAATGCAGAAGAAGAAAAAAAAACTTCTCTATGAGGTAAGTGTAGAATGCCTGAGACCCCAAAGGTGACTGAAGGGGGACATGCTTGAGGAGTATGAAATTATGTGTGAATGGAAAAAATGATCAGGAGAAGGTTTATCTCCTTCTCAAAACACTAGGACCAGGGTTTTTCTAATGAAGCTGATTGGAAGGAGATTCAGACAAACGAAAGCACTGTACAAAATTACATTTGGGGTGACCACTAACTTCAATGGCTTTAAAGGGCAATTGGAGGAATTCATTGATGCAGGTCTATCAAGAGCTGTTAGTCTTGAGACACAAGGTTACCTCCAAGTTCAGGGCAGCATGCCTCCAAATACCAGCTGCAGGGGAGCAATGGCAGGAGAGGGCTATGTCTCCACCTCCTGCTTGCAAGCACTCCAGAGACATCTGGTTGGCCACTGTGAGAAACAAAATGCTGAACTAAGACAGGTCTTGGCCTGATCTAGCATGGCTATTCTCATATTCTTATGTTCTTATCCTGCTCTGTACATTGATATAGAATTCAGTTCTGACATCATGCCACCAAGCTGTATTTTGTACTAGCCTCTCATATTCGAACTCAAACGGGCATTGATTTAGGACTAGCATTCAGGTTTAGAAGTACACTCCTTTTTACATTCTTGATGCAACAAGCCTATGCTATAACTACCAGCTGTTGATTCAACATCTTGTAAAAACATAGTAGGAGGCCAGGAGGAAGCTGGCATTTGCAAAACAAAGCACCAGGCTCAACTCACATGTTTATTTCCAAGAAGGTCTCCAGAATCCACATGGACTCTGGAGTCCAAGCATTCTTTAATATAAACAAAAAACAAAAACAAAATTAAGCAGGAGGCTGGTAGGATGCAAAACAAAACATCTGCCTCTAAAAATTTCCAAGCATATCCCTGGAGTCTACATAGACTCCAGAAACAACCCTTGGAAAATAAGAATGGTGGGAATTGCCCAGTGCTTTATCTGCAATTATGCCCATCAACACGGAAAAGGGCAGGGTAAAATAAGAGCTGGCAGAACATTTCTGAGACACCCCCACCTCCCAAATCACCAAATAAGTATTTCAAACTTATATTTTGTATAGTTTCAACCTTGATTTTAGTAAGGACAACAGACAAGAAAGAAATCTTTGCCCCAGAAGCAATGAGAATCCTTCCATTGTCAATGTTTTCTGAGAAAGCAAGTTCTAGAGAGTGCAAAGCTTTGAAAAAGTAGGTAAAACAAAAATGGGTAGATCTAAAGAGAGAGAAGTTCACATAAAAGGTCATAAGGCAGAAATCACAGCAGTTCCAACTGTGGCTCATATAGGGAGCCAGATGTCATGAGGGAAAAATTAATAAAATATATTAACTCCAAACAGCTTTGCAGTGTAGCTCATATGCATGAATGAGGCCTCCCATAAATATTATTTCAAGTCCTTTGTTTCAAGCAATATTGCATTCACTAATCCACAACGCAACCAATTATAGATTTAAGTGCTTCTGAAAAGGTACCTCTATTCATCTATTTTACAAAGAAATCTTGTTAGGTCTAAACCACTATAAACTATTTATTTTGGTTTTATTTTTGTAATCCATTTATTTTGAGCCAACAAAGAACACCATCTCCTCCATGATGTAATCCCCAAATGTCCAGATTGGCCACATTCTAGACTTTGGCACAGCTCAGCATTTATTCCTGTATAACACATATAGCACATTTAAAGTTCCTTTCATCAGAAAATGTAACATCCTTTCCCATGGCAGACATGGTAAATTTCAGCGAAGAAAAATTTGTACAATTCTTGGGGAACAGGCCCTACCCGCAAAGTAGATTTTGGTAAAGCTTGATTTAGACAAATCACTCTGTGCATTTTCTCTGCTTTTTCTTCTTTTTTTAACAGCAGAGGGAAGGCCTTTAAAAGATTCCTCAACCTGATAATTTCCAGACAGAACCCAAATCCCATCATCCTCAAACATCTGATCAGGATCTGTGGACAGCTTCTGGAGCATATTTTTCAATGAGTATCACCAAGGAGATTTCATATGTTGTATCTGGGAACGCACAAACATTTACACTAGAAAATTTTATATTTTTCTCTTTCCCATGTTCCGCTTGAAATAATTCTTTCTTCCCCCACAAAGAACATCTCTCTCATCCCACCCCAAATGCTCAGGACTGACAGACAGGCGTAAAGACAGACAGAAAACACAGTGGCTAATCTGACCAGCATTTAGCCACCATATTTTCTGTTCTATATGCTGAGCTGACCAAATGGATTAGCTAAATTTCTCTTTATCCTTTTAAAAAAAAATGAAATTTCAAAAGAATGAAATTTAGATTTTTTAAAAAGCTGATTTTTATTTTTATTGACTTTGCTTACTAACATAGAAAGAGACTGCAATTTCTACATAACAGAATGTGTTAAAACGGAGAACTCCACATTCTGCTAGATATTTCACCTATAAAACTCTACTAGTAGGATGGGGCATTCTTGATCTCGTTGTTCTTCTACACTCCTTTAATTGGAGTAAAGCCATCTGTAATCACTAAGAGTTTTAGTAAGGAGCCAGACATACCTGTTCCATTCTGTGCTTTGGGGGGCTGTTGAGTAGATGGAGGTGATTCATCTGTTCTAAAACAAATTAAGAAAACAAGTACAATTTAGAATACATTCACTGAACAAAACAAAACAAAATGTTGATATTTCAAAGGAACAGAGGGAGGATTTATCACTTTTTTTAGAATCTCCACAAGAAAGATAGACCAAAACATCTGCTTTGGACAGCCAAGTTGGGGACAACCTTCAAAGCCGCCCTGTGAGCCTTCAAAAGCCATGGCTGTTTTACCATTTGAGCTGCTTCATTCATGCTAACATGCTCTATTGTGAATGCCTCTTTTGAACAATCTCTAGATTTATGACCTATCAAAAGTATTGGAGTGGAATTTAATTCTTTATCTTGTGAAAAACAAAAATGCACAGTTGCATCTAAGGCCCCAGGTTCACGGTCACTCATGCTTTGCTCACCTCCGAATAGATTATTGCAATATACCCTACATAGGGGTGCGCTTGAAGAACATCTGGAAGCTACAGCTGGTCCAGAATGCAGCACTGCAGGGAGTTAGGAGCAGCACATCTTGATGCGCTCATGTTATACCACTGCTCTGTGAGTTGTGCTGGCTCCCAATATACTCCTGGGTGCAAGTCAAAGTGCTGGCTGCCACACATAAAGCCCTTCTTGGCATGGTGCTGGCTTATTTACAGACCACCTCTCCCCAACTGATTCCACCCCTCCCATTAGGTCTGGCAAGGAGACCCATGCTGCAGATCCCATCAATTAAAGGATATCATCTTGCTGAACACAAAAAGTGGGCCTCTTCCGTTCCAGCACCTGTGCTTTGGAGCACCATACCCCCTGAGATTAAATTGGCCCTGAACCCACTGGCTTTCCCAAAAAAAACAACAACTTTAAAGACTTGGAGATGTTCTCAGGCAGGTGGGTTGGGAGGTAGTTGGACCCTGTGGGATGTTTTTAGTTTATTAGATTGGGTGATCAGTATAAATTTTGTACATTGGTTGGTTTGTGTTACCTTTTTGTATGTTTTGCATATCTTGTTGCCACCCAGTGTAACTATGGCAAGATGGGCAGCTATACAAATTGAATGAATGAATGAATGAATGAATGAATGAATGAATGAATGAGTAAACAAACAAACAAACAAATAAATAAATAAGCAAGCAAGCCTTCAGTGTTCCACTCCTCCAAGTTATGGTACAGTTGTTATTCTTTGCACATTTGGCCTGGGAAGATGTAATATACAAAAAGTAATCACCCCACCCTCTTCAAATAAACATTTGAATAATGGTAGCATGTCTATAATGAGATACCATCTTCTCTGAAACCATGCACAGAAGTGGAGGTTTCAATCAGGGATGCACTCAAGAAAGTTACTTGACTGCACCATCAGTTAATGATATAACCTGGGATCTACTACTGGAATAAAATCTATTAACTGAAAATCTATTAACTTAAGAGCACGGCCAAAAACGTATACAGTAGGCATCAAATGTCACCCCAAATTCTATACAAGACAACTCTTATAGAACAACACTATATCTGTGTTAACATCTTTTTTTTTTTTTTCTAACTGACAAAATGCCATTTCTATAAAGTTACTGGTGGCAGTGCCAGCTCAGGTTAATTTGCATTTTGACACACTGCAATTAGAATAGCATGAAATTAGCACTGGCCGTGAATGGCTCATGCCATGTAATTTTACACAGCAGGAAAGTATAGGTTTACATTCTTGAATCCACCTCTACCCCACAGAAATACCCAAGACTGAGTGCCAAAGAATTAGCAAACTTCTTTATTTCTACAGCTAGCATCTGCAGTGCAAACATTAAACAGGAAATCTAGCCCATGATGTTCCTGAGCACCTTCAAAGTGCTTCACAGAGTTTGAAGGAGGCTCTCAGGACACTGCATAGCAATTTGCTTTAATAGAAATGCTTTGGAAACGCCCTTTGCGATCCAAAATTCCTGACAAAAGATAAGTAAAGCAATCAGTAATCCTGTAAACAAAAAAGCAAAATATAGGATAGCTATTTTAAACACCATATATTCAGACTTTAGGCTTCTTAAGATACTTACTCTCTACTATTGCCCCCCCCCCCAAAAGCAATGCTCAATTTATACTAAGAGGAAGCCTAGTCTATTCCAAATGTTTTGGAATGTACTCACAAAACCTGCCTCTGGCTATAATGGCTGGAGTTAACAGAAGCAAACATCCAAAACATTTTAGGGCACCAGATTGCCTACCCAGGGTTTATAGCTATGGGTATATCCATATCCATGAATACACTTTAATATGGTTAACAGTTCCAAAAGTACTTCAGCATTTAAACAGTCCTAAAGGCAAATTTTGAGTTACCAGGGCTAAAATGTATATTGAATACATTTAAAACCGTGGAGATGATTGTGGACTTTAGAAAGACTCCTTCTAATACTCCTCCCCTTACCATACTCAACAGCCTAGTATCAGAGGTAGAGTCC